TAAAGTCCTCACTATCTAATATACTATCACAATCATGGATTCAACCTATATTTAAAAACAAACAAAAAAAACCCCCCAGGAATTAATTTTGTTTAAACTACTGAAAAAGATGAGAGTTGCAGAATCTTAGTAGTATTGTCTCAATTAAATTAGTTTTCCAAAATAATAGCCCATAAAGTTTTCTACTGCATGAGTGTCTGTGGGAGAGCAAATGCGTTGTACGTATTCAGTTTGGTTTTTGTTTTTGGGAAGGTTGTAGATAAATCCCAAGCAACGTATTTGTCATATTTGTAATTAGAGAAGTAAACTTGGCAGGAAATTTGGTGCAAAAGGGTGGGAGGGGAGGAATGCATTTCCAAAGGCTTGAGACACTCATCTTTTCTAACACATTTTCTGATTTAGTGCAGGCGATAGCTCTGGAATGACTGTTTCTTCTATAAGCCAATTTAAACCATATGCATCTCTTTATTTAAAGACATAAGGTCCCAGTCCTGTGAGGTGCCAAGTGCCTCTTACAAGCTGCTGATGCTGTCACTACTCACTAGGGTGAATGCAAACCTTAACACGTGCCCTTGTAACATGATATGTACAATTTACTCCAATCTGAAGTTGAAGTTAATGCAAGTATTTCTACGACAGGCCAGAAAACATTTCAAGGGTTTAAAATTTGTTTTTGTTTTGATGCCGAATGAAAACGAGACCTTTCAAAAATGTTCACCAGAGAAATATCAACCCACCCACCCCAGAATAGCCAGTAGCCTGGTGATTAGAGTACTCACCTGGGATAGGGGGGTTCTGAATCAGAACCAGGACTGAGCATGGGTCTCCCACATCCCAACTGAGTTCCCTAACCACCAGCTTACTGGCTGTTCAGGGTAGGTTTCTCTCTCCCCAATGGGACCCAAGACATCTTCAAAAGAAATTTCCATCAAAACATTTTGCTCTTGACAAAATGGCATTTTTCAATGGAGAAAAGTTTTGTTTAAGTTTTTCAGCTGGCTCTACTGCTTGTATATGAGTGAGGTTTGGCAGAGCCAGGCCCAGTGGAGGATATGGGGCTGAGTACCTCACCACACTTATTTTGTAACATTGTCAGTCAGTCCACGTTTGGTTAGATCAACTTTAAAAAAAAATACAGTGTGAAAATACTTGGTCAGGAAGTGGGGAAAACAAACAATCAGGAATTATTCTGTAGTTTCAGAACAGAGTAGGGAGGAGGACAGGTATGTATTAGGAAACAGTGATTGTAGAAAGACAGGAAAGTAGACATGAACGTAGATGAATTAATTTAGAACTCAGTCCACTACCCTTTCTCTCTCTCATGGTGAGTAGTACCTCACTGCACAGGCAGCCCCACTGAAATTATTTTGGCTTATTGGTGAAGTATGATACTACTGTGAGTAAGGGGACAGAACTGGGCTCTTAGAGGCCCATGTATTAATGGACCTCAAGGCTCCTAATCCTGCAAACTCTTCCCCAGGAGAATAGTTCTTACTTACATGAGTAGTATTGAAATCAATGAGACTATTCACCCAAGTAGGTGTTTTCAGGACCACGATCAACGTTTGAGATAACTTAAAGGAGAGAATATGAACTTTTTAAACAGCTGGCAGTAATTACATAATAAATAGATCATTTACTAGTATTGTGGAATAAGTATTATTGTCCCATTTTTCTCTTTTGTGTTCTGCTTGATTCCATAATTTTAAGTATATACTTTTTAAAATAAAATAAAATGGACGGAGTGAACAAATGATGTATGTAGAGGGTGAGAGACATACAACCGAGTGTGTACAGATTAAACACATACCCTAACCAGCACACACTATACAGCTCTCTTTCTTTCTTTATCCTAACAATTTTCCAAAAGAGAAACCCAGGCACACTGGATTCAAATTTAGGATTTTTTTAAATGGACTATGATATTGCAATTATTATCTAATCTACATCCATATCACTTTCCATTTATACATATAAATATACACACACATTTAAGAATATTGAAACAAAAGAATATGAGAAAATGGGAATAACTTTTATCCCATAATAGTGGTAAATGGTCCACTGATAGTCAATTATTAGCCACTGTTTAAAAGGTTACCATCTTCACTTCCCAGCTCCGCCCGCCTGGCCCCCTCTCCTCGCACCCCTCCCCGTGCCGCCCAGCTGTGCCCGCCTGGCCCCCTTCCTCCCGCCCCTCCCTGTACCGCCCAGCTGTGCCCGCCTGGCCCCTTCCTCCCGCCCCTCCCCGTGCCGCCCAGCTGTGCCCGCCTGGCCCCTTCCTCCCGCCCCTCCCCATGCAGGCCAGCTGTGCCCGCCTGGCCCCTTCCTCCCGCCCCTCCCCGTGCCGCCCAGCTGTGCCCGCCGGGCCCCCTTCCTCCCGCCCCTCCCCGTTCCGCCCAGCTGTGCCCGCCGGGCCCCCTTCCTCCCACCCCTCCCCGTGCCGCCCACCTGGGCCCGCCTGGCCCTTCCTCCCGCCCCTCCCCGTGCAGCCCAGCTGTGCCCGCCGGGCCCCCTGTCCTCCCGCTCCTCCCCGTGCAGCCCAGCTGTGCCCGCCGGGCCCTCTTCCTCCCGCCCCTCCCCGTGCCACCCAGCTGTGCCCGCCTGGCCCCCTGTCCTCGCACCCCTCCCCGTGCAGCCCAGCTGTGCCTGCCTGGCCCCTTCCTCCCGCCCCTCCCCGTGCAGCCCAGCTGTGCCCACCTGGCCCCCTGTCCTCCCGCCCCTCCCCGTGCTGCCCAGCTGTGCCCGCCTGGCCCCCTGTCCTCCCGCCCCTCCCCCGTGCCGCCCAGCTGTGCCCTCCTGGCCCCTTCCTCCCCCCCCTCCCCCGTGCCGCCCAGCTGTGCCCGCCTGGCCCTCTGTCCTCGCACCCCTCCCCGTGCCGCCCAGCTGTGCCTGCCTGGCCCCTTCCTCCCGCCCCTCCCCGTGCCGCCCAGCTGTGCCCGCCTGGCCCCCTGTCCTCCCGCCCCTCCCCGTGCTGCCCAGCTGTGCCCGCCTGGCCCCCTGTCCTCCCGCCCCTCCCCGTGCCGCCCAGCTGTGCCCTCCTGGCCCCTTCCTCCCACCCCTCCCCGTGCCGCCCAGCTGTGCCCGCCTGGCCCCCTGTCCTCCCGCCCCTCCCGGTGCCGCCCAGCTGTGCCCGCCTGGCCCCCTGTCCTCCCGCCCCTCCCGGTGCCGCCCAGCTGTGCCCGCCTGGCCCCCTGTCCTCCCGCCCCTCCCGGTGCCGCCCAGCTGTGCCCGCCTGGCCCCTTCCTCCCGCCCCTCCCGGTGCCGCCCAGCTGTGCCCGCCTGGCCCCTTCCTCCCGCCCCTCCCCGTGCCGCCCAGCTCTGCCCGCCTGGCCCCCTGTCCTCGCACCCCTCCCCGTGCAGCCCAGCTGTGCCTGCCTGGCCCCTTCCTCCCGCCCCTCCCCGTGCAGCCCAGCTGTGCCCACCTGGCCCCCTGTCCTCCCGCCCCTCCCCGTGCTGCCCAGCTGTGCCCGCCTGGCCCCCTGTCCTCCCGCCCCTCCCCGTGCCGCCCAGCTGTGCCCTCCTGGCCCCTTCCTCCCACCCCTCCCCGTGCCGCCCAGCTGTGCCCGCCTGGCCCTCTGTCCTCGCACCCCTCCCCGTGCCGCCCAGCTGTGCCTGCCTGGCCCCTTCCTCCCGCCCCTCCCCGTGCCGCCCAGCTGTGCCCGCCTGGCCCCCTGTCCTCCCGCCCCTCCCCCGTGCTGCCCAGCTGTGCCCGCCTGGCCCCCTGTCCTCCCGCCCCTCCCCGTGCCGCCCAGCTGTGCCCTCCTGGCCCCTTCCTCCCACCCCTCCCCGTGCCGCCCAGCTGTGCCCGCCTGGCCCCCTGTCCTCCCGCCCCTCCCCGTGCCGCCCAGCTGTGCCCGCCTGGCCCCCTGTCCTCCCGCCCCTCCCGGTGCCGCCCAGCTGTGCCCGCCTGGCCCCCTGTCCTCCCGCCCCTCCCGGTGCCGCCCAGCTGTGCCCGCCTGGCCCCTTCCTCCCGCCCCCTCCCGGTGCCGCCCAGCTGTGCCCGCCTGGCCCCTTCCTCCCGCCCCTCCCCGTGCCGCCCAGCTCTGCCCGCCTGGCCCGCTGTCCTCCCGCCCCTCCCGGTGCCGCCCAGCTGTGCCCGCCTGGCCCCCTTCCTCCCACCCCTCCCCGTGCCGCCCAGCTGTGCCCGCCTGGCCCCTTCCTCCCGCCCCTCCCCGTGCCACCCAGCTGTGCCCGCCTGGCCCCTTCCTCCCGCCCCTCCCCGTGCCACCCAGCTGTGCCCGCCTGGCCCTCTGTCCTCGCACCCCTCCCCGTGCCGCCCAGCTGTGCCTGCCTGGCCCCTTCCTCCCGCCCCTCCCCGTGCCGCCCAGCTGTGCCCGCCTGGCCCCCTGTCCTCCCGCCCCTCCCCGTGCCGCCCAGCTGTGCCCTCCTGGCCCCTTCCTCCCGCCCCCTCCCCGTGCCGCCCAGCTGTGCCCGCCTGGCCCCGTCCTCCCGCCCCTCCCCGTGCCGCCCAGCTGTGCCCGCCTGGCCCCCTTCCTCCCGCCCCTCCCCGTGCCGCCCAGCTGTGCCCGCCTGTCCCCCTTCCTCCCGCCCCTCCCCGTGCCGCCCAGCTGTGCCCGCCGGGCCCCTCCCTCCCGCCCCTCCCCGTGCCGCCCAGCTGTGCCCGCCGGGCCCCTCCCTCCCGCCCCTCCCCGTGCCGCCCAGCTGTGCCCGCCGGGCCCCCTTCCTCCCGCCCCTCCCCGTTCCGCCCAGCTGTGCCCGCCTGGCCCCTTCCTCCCGCCCCTCCCCGTGCCGCCCAGCTGTGCCCGCCGGGCCCCCTTCCTCCCGCCCCTCCCCGTGCCGCCCACCTGGGCCCGCCTGGCCCTTCCTCCCGCCCCTCCCCATGCAGCCCAGCTGTGCCCGCCGGGCCCCCTGTCCTCCCGCCCCCCCTCCCCGCCCCTGTCCTCCCGCCCCTCCCCGTGCCGCCCAGCTGTGCCCGCCTGGCCCCTTCCTCCCGCCCCTCCCCGTGCCGCCCAGCGGCGCCCGCCGCGGCTCTTTACCGGGCCCCTCTCCGACTGCGGCAGGACCGCGTTCCCCCGGCGCCCGCCGATCCGGAACCGGGCCGCCTTGTAGATCTTCCAGTAGACGAAGAGCACGACGCCGAGCGGCAGGTAGAAGGCGCCGCAGGTGGAGAAGACGGCGTAGGAGGGCTCCTGGCTGACCTGGCAGCGCTGCAGCGCGGGGCTGTAGGTCTCGCCCCAGCCGGCGAGGGGCGCCAGGGCGATGAGGGCGGAGAGCGCCCAGGCGAGGCCGATCATGGCGCGGGAGGCGCGGCGGCGGGCGCGCAGGGTGTACTGCAGGTGGCGGGTGATGGACCAGTAGCGGTCCAGGGCGATGGCCGTCACGTTCCAGATGCTGGCCGTGCAGCACAGCACGTCGAAGGAGACCCACGCGTGGCACAGCGCCCGGCCCAGCCGCCAGCGCCGCCCGGCCGACAGCTCCCTCACCAGGCTCAGCGGCATGGCCAGCGCCGCCACCAGCACGTCGGCCAGAGCGGTGGAGGCCACCAGGTTGTGGGGCACCCGGTGGAAGGTCTTGACCCGCAGGATGGTCACCAGCACCAGCAGGTTCCAGAGGAAGGTGGCGACGGTCAGGAGGACCAGCAGGGTGAGGACCAGGATGCTGAAGATGGAGAAGGGCTCCCGGCTCCTCCAGGCGCCGCCCCCCAGCTCCGAGGTGGAGTTGCCCCCCGCCGGGGCGGAGGACGCGTTGAGGTCCATGGCTGGCTGGCCCGGGAGTCTGGTGGCCAAGGAGCAGCTCGGGGCTGGGCGGGTTGCGCGCTCCGTTGGCGCGCCCAGGGGACCGCCTGCGCGGGGTGCGAACCGCCGGCGAGACGCGCTCCCGGGGTCTTCTCCGCGGCCTGCCCCTCGCTCCCCCCGCCAAATGCCCCGCGGCCGAGTCCCGCCCGGGCGCCGGGAAGCGAAGTGAGTCTAGGCAAGAGCCTCGCTACGGCTGCCTCCCTTCAGCCGCTGCTCCCTGCCGTTGCCATGTGCTCCCGTCTGCCTCCCTGGCTGGGGCGGGGGGGACGCTGTGCCGGCTCCCCGCTCGCCCCCCTTTCCGTGGCACGGGCTCCCGCTGCAGGAAAGGGCGAAGGGAAAAAGAGGCTCGCTCGGGTCCGCCTGCTGGGGGGCTCCGGGCGCTGGGCGGAGCAGGCAGCGCGTCTGCGGCTTGCAACCGGCAGCCGGCGGGACTGGAGAAAAGCCTTTGCCACCCCTTGTCCTGCCGTGCGCCCTCTCCCCGCAGGCAGGTGACCGCCAGACACAACGAGCGCCAAACCCAGGGCTCTCAGCAATGATCCCCCTGCCCCGTAACAGCCAGAGCACCCTACCAGCCCACCCCTCTCCTCTAACAGCCAGAGCACCCCCACCCCTCTCCTCTAACAGCCAGAGCACCCTACCACAACCAACCCACCCCTCTCCTGTAACAGCCAGAGCATCCTGCCACTCCTCTTCTGTAACAGCCAGAGCACTCCCACCCCTCTAACAGCCAGAGCCCCCTACCACAACCAACCAACCCACCTCTCTCCTACAACAGCTAGAGCACCCTACCCTCAGACCCCCTCCTCTGTAACAGCCAGGGCACCCCCCCTCCTCCTCCAACTCTCCCACTGTCCCCTCCTCTGTTACAGCCACACACCCCTCCCTCAACCAACTCACTGCCCCATAACAGCCAGAGCACCCTGTACACCAACCAATTCATCCCCTCTGTAACAGCCAGAGCAGCCAACCACCCCACCCCTGTGTAACAGTCAGAACACCCTGCTCCCCACCAACCCACCCCACTCCTCCATAACAGCCAGAGCACTGTATCCCCACAACTCCTGTTACAACCACAGCACCTTCCCCCCCAACCAGCCTACCCACTGCCTCCTCTGTTACAACCAGAACACTTCACCCCTCCCCGCAACCATCACACCCACACACCCCCTGTATTAACCAAAGAATCCTACCCCACTCACCCTCCCATCTCTGTAACAACCAGAGAACCCCACCCCCATCTAAATAGTTATAACACCCTACCCCACCAGGGTGCAACCAGATATGTCCTAAGGAGGGGCCTCAGGGAAAGGACCCCTCTCCAATAGGGCACATGTCCTGAGGCAGAGAAGACTGAAGGGCTCAGGGTGACCCTCAGGAATAGCTCGCAGGTTTGCAGGGCTGTAGCCAGCAAAGGAAGCGTCTGCCCTTGCCCCCGCCAACCCCCTAGTGCCAGGGCAGGGCCCAGCCTAGAGAGCACAGAGGGAGGTGCTGTACATTCCTGTGGACCCCTGCAGCCCCACTCCCCGTGGAGAACTCCTGCATCTGGACTGCAGCCCCCCTCCCCGCTGATCCCCTGCCTGGGGCTGGGGGGGGGGAGAAGAGGAGTGCTAGGGCCTCCCCTCCCAGCCCACAGCACCAGGACTTGGCAGAGGGGCTCCCCCGCTGGGCAAGGGTAAAGGTAGCACAGTACATTACCTCCTCTGTGGGGAATGCACTGCTCCCTCCTCTTTACCAGCGCTCCTACCCCATCCCTCCTAGCAAATAACCACCCCACTGCCTCCTCTGTCATAACCAGAGCACCCTGATCCTTCCCTCCTCCCTGCCCTCTCCTCCTATATCACAGCCAGGGCATTCACTCCTCCTATACAGATTAATAGATCTTAAGGCCAGAAGGGACCATTATGATCATCTAGTTTGACCTTTATTTGCAAGCCACAGAACCTTACCCACTGATTTTTGCAGCAAGCCCTGTTTGAGCTATTGCACATGTTTTAGACAGAAATCGAGACTGTCAAGTGACAGAGAATCCACCCCATCCCTAGGTAAGTTGTTCCAATGGTTAATTACTCTCACTGTTAAAAATTTGCACCTTATTTCTAGATTGAATTTCTCTAGTTCCAGCTTCCAAACATGACCTCTTGTTAAGTCATCTCCTGTAGATTAAATAGCCATCCACTATCAACACATGATTTTGCAAAAAATGGAAGAGTAGGCTTATGCCTTGAGTAGTGCCGTGGTACTTGGACTTGACTGGGGGAGAAGCCAGGGAAATAATAGCTTTTAACCGTAGAGAGCAATTAAATGAATTTGAAGAAATGTGGACCCATTTTGAGATATTTTTGGATTAAAAAAGTTGAGATGGCTGAAAAGATGCTAGACCTCCATTTCTCTTAACCCCTCCTCTTTTTTTCCTCCTCTCCCTACCCAGATATGTCTTCTGTTACTGTTACCCCCATCCTAACATTGTCTATGTAATAGTACCATGTGGTCTTGCAGTTTTGATAGGTTGTAAAATTGCATAATTCTGTTGGCACTCCTGTGCAGCACGTGTATTTGGAACCAAATGAGCTGTAAGTCATTTTCCTTTTTGTGCTTTTCATAGTCTGTTTCTTTATGAAAATGAATCACAGAAAAAGAAATCTCTTCCCCCTGGAGGTACGTGTAGATTGTGATCAAATCAGCTCTTAGCTTTCATTTGGATAACCTAAATAGACTGAACTTCTTTAGTCTTTCAGTGTAATGCATTTTCCAGACCTTGAACCATTCTTGTAACTCTTTTCTGAATCCTTTCTAGTATTTCAACATTCTTTTTGAAATGTGGACACCAAACTGCACACAGTATTCCAGTAATTGTCTCATTAAGGCGGTATACGGAGGTAACAACACCTGCCTATTCCTACCTGATATTCTCCTGCTTATGTAACCAAGGGTCACATTAGCCCTCAACTATAGAATTGATTGTCTGCCATTATCCCCAAGTCCTTTTCATTGTCACTGCATTCCGGGATACTGTCTCCCATCTTGTAAGTGTGACCCAATTCTTTGTTCCTAAACCTATGACCTTGCATATGGCTGAATTAAAAAGCATGTTTTCAAATGAGCCTACTTTAGCAAGTGATCCAGGTCAGTGTCTAACTGACCTGTCACCATCATTATTTACCACTTCTGCAATTTTTGTGTCATCTGCAAATTTTACCATCAATGATTTTTCTCCAGATCATTGACAAAGCTATTGAATAACATTGGGCCAAGAGCAGCTCCCTGTGAGACCCTCTAAAAACATCTCCGTAGAATGATGATTCTCCATTTACAATTACTTTTTTCAGTCTATCAGGTAAACAGTCTTTCATCCATTTAGCATGGGCCACAATGATTTTGTATACTGCTAATTTTGTTATCATAATGTGATGTGTGACAAAATCAAAAGTGTCACAGTTCATAAGAACTTAAGAATGGTCCTACTAGGTCAAGCCAAGGGTCCATCTAGCCCAGCATCCTGTCTTCCGACAGTGGCTAGTGCCAGGACAACTGTACCTGTATTCCCCCCCGCCCTCTTTATCCATTGAGGACACCCACTCTAGGATCCTGGTTGCTCAGCCGTCTTCTCTCTTAGATAGAAACCCACATCTCTTTCCCTCCTGACCGGCTTCTCCAGGCTGCACAAGTTTCCTGCCAACACTATGATATTCCCGGCAAGCCAGACTGCCTAACCAGGCCAGCATCTGTGCTTTGCTTTCTCTTCGAAGGCCATGGACAGCACGATGGCATGAAGTTTTTAGTTATGCCACAAACTTTTTTTTATAAGCAAGTGCATTTATTCTTAATGTAAAAGACAAATTGGAGGATTGGGCCAAAAGAAATCTGATGAGGTTCAATAAGGATAAGTGCAGGGTCCTGCACTTAGGACGGAAGAACCCAATGGACAGCTACAGACTAGGGACCGAATGGCTAGGCAGCAGTTCTGCGGAAAAGGACCTAGGGGTGACAGTGGACGAGAAGCTGGATATGAGTCAGCAGTGTGCCCTTGTTGTCAAGAAGGCCAATGGCATTTTGGGATGTATAAGTAGGGGCATAGCGAGCAGATCGAGGGACGTGATCGTTCCCCTCTATTCGACATTGGTGAGGCCTCATCTGGAGTACTGTGTCCAGTTTTGGGCCCCACACTTCAAGAAGGATGTGGATAAATTGGAGAGAGTCCAGCGAAGGGCAACAAAAATGATTAGGGGTCTGGAACACATGAGTTATGAGGAGAGGCTGAGGGAGCTGGGATTGTTTAGCCTGCAGAAGAGAAGAATGAGGGGGGATTTGATAGCTGCTTTCAACTACCTGAAAGGGGGTTCCAAAGAGGATGGCTCTAGACTGTTCTCAATGGTAGCAGATGACAGAATGAGGAGTAATGGTCTCAAGTTGCAGTGGGGGAGGTTTAGATTGGATATTAGGAAAAACTTTTTCACTAAGAGGGTGGTGAAACACTGGAATGCGTTATCTAGGGAGGTGGTAGAATCTCCTTCCTTAGAGGTTTTTAAGGTCAGGCTTGACAAAGCCCTGGCTGGGATGATTTAACTGGGATTTGGTCCTGCTTCGAGCAGGGGGTTGGACTAGATGACCTTCTGGGGTCCCTTCCAACCCTTATATTCTATGATTCTATGAAAGTATTATAGAGAAAATCTATTTTAAAAAAATAAAAGAACCTACACGCATGCTAAAAAGCTTATCAGAAGTCACCCAAACTGCAACCCTGGTCTTTGGTAGATGTCAGTCCTTCAAAATCCTCAACTGAGTTTTCCCCATGATTACAAGTTCATGACTGTCTGAGATTTAGAACCAGAACCACCATAAATTGTTCAATTTTACCTTTATACAGCTTGGGCCTTTGATCTTGGAGTGATCAGCAGACAAAGGCCCACTTCTCAGAGCATAGCTTCAAAAGGCTGGGTTGTTGCATAATCAGAGGTGGATTTGCATTAACCTCTCCCTAGATATTTTCCGTGAAATCCATTTCACACATATTGTCCCAATAGTCCATTCTTTTCTGGCACATTG